ATTTAACTTGAATTAGTTACGCTTAAGATGGGTCTGTGGTAGCTGAATGTAATGTAAAGTAATGTAATGTAATGAAATGTAATGTAATGTAAAGTAAGGTAAGGTAATGTAATGTAAGATAAGGTAATGTAATGTAGGGTAATGTAATGTAAGGTAATGTAATGAAATGTTTCCTAGGTAACAGTGATACAAATCATAAATTAAAGACGGATGTCGTTATCAGAATAAGGCATAATAAAAGTGAGAAAGATACTTGTTCGAGGAATCATATGGAATAGCAGAAGTTCGGGGGAAGATTTTATAATTTCGTAGGTGCCAGAACATGACAGAATTAACACATTTCATAGGAACGGGTGTGGTGTAACGAGAGACGATCTCGGATGTGTATTTCGTCTTTAATTTGTCGAAATGGGGCGCTGTTTTGTGGGGTGGGGGTGGGGGGGGGTGGGGGCTATGAAACGCTGGTAAGAAAGAGAGCGAGAGATCTCTGTAAGGGTGAAGGAGACATCACCTACTATCACAAAGGCAACAACAGAAATTCCCATTAACTTAATAGTTCCTCGGCTTGACAGCAGTCTTCAGAAACTTTGTCCGGTTATCAGTTTGAAGACGAGAGATGCCAGCGGTACGTTGAGGTGGAACGCGAGTCAAAGCATGCAAAAATGACAGCTCTTTTTCAGCTGCTGTCTAGTCAGTGCGTAGTCAAACAAGTCACTGACTACCACGTCCCCATATCTGACATATCCCGAAACAATTGAATATTGAAGGTTTTTACCATCGCTTCATTGTGTTTACTGAATACACAGACCTGCGCTGTAGTCCACAATTCTCGATCCCTCGCGCATGTCAGGCGCAGAAAACCCCCAAACGACCTCTCTCGCCCCAGAAACCTAGACCACACACACGTCAGCCTAATTGCTTGCCTCAAATTGGCATGAATCTCATTTCGCATGTCTGTCAGGAGAGATACAAATTAGAGCCAGGAAGCTAACCAAAATGTAACTTTTCTATGACTCTCTCATTTAAGAACACTTACATTTCCCTTATAAACACGTTCACAAATTTAATATCTGAAGAAACCGATTAAGACTGACCTTACACTCTTTGGTTTCCAGCTCTCTAAAATAATCGCAGGGACTTTTTATTTTGAATCTCATTACTGAAAACTCTTAAACCTTAATTTTGTGATTCTTTAATGGCAGAGACTGAGACCTCATGACACTTGTCCTGTAATATTTTCATGAAGTCAAAACTTTAGTGTAAATCTAAACGTGTCGGTTACATGGCTGTCAACAGTAACAAGACTCTATTTTCCACGGAAAATAATTGAAATTATGCCACTGATAACGAAGCGTCGTACTGTTTTAAATACGAAAAGAAATTAAAATAAATATCTCATATTTGTTGGCTATGACACACGGAAATTTATGTAAATTACAAATTACAATGAATTTCAAAGTTAAGAATCACACGCCCCTGAAATTGTGAAGTTAGTATCGGCCCAGTCTGTATTTTATTTGAGCAGTGGACTGAAACTTTGAATTTTACTTCTAGTGTCCACCTTGTGTTCTCATTAAATGTATTTTATTTACGTAACTTAAAACCCATGAAATTGAAACGACAGTGACACTGATATTACAAAATTTAATTTTAAAGGCAACGAAAGGAAAGTGGGCTCTCATATATCATGCTCTTGAAACAGACTCCAAAAGCATGCTACAAGATTCTGAAGCTGATACACACGCTGTATATTCAACTTTAATAACAAATTCATCGAAATGGACGGAATAAATGTGAGAGGTACCAAACAGTGAAGCTAGTAATTACATTTTTATAACACCACACAGTCCACAGAACAAAACACCAATATTCCCTCTTCATTTTGCAGTCCCAAATAAAACTACACGAAGATTTAAACTGTGTCTGTGCAAATCGGGAAATTTGCAGGGACAGATTCAGGTCATACAAGTTTTATTTCGACATTATTATTAACAGACTTTGTTGAGGTAGCAGGCGGTCATACAGGTGACTGAATTACCGTCACAATCATGAAACTTCTGAACAACAGGTAATTGAAAATCGTATCACCTGTCACACAAGTCATCGTTATAACCATAATCACCATAAATATCACTATCATCGTGGCAGAGATTCTAAATAATTACGTAGTAAATTTGTAATCAACTACACTAAAATCCATTTATGTAAGTGTTTACGATTATCCAAGGTAGAAAAAAAAAATCTGTCAGTGTATTTTTAATATTGTAAGTACTTATTAAGATATATTATGCACTTTCTTAAGTAAATTTAAATTGAAATTCAACGATAATTAATCTAAAATTCTCAAAATATCAAATTTATCCAAAATCAGTTTAAGAATTCTAATACTGTTTTGAGAGTAAGGACAGAGAGACGGATTTATTCTAACAGAAATTCCGTAGGCTCCCATTCGCGGTACTCTAATGGACAAGATAATTGAAACAGTACAGAAATGTCCATCCCAGAGCAAACTAATTGAAATAATTTAATATACGAAGTAATTATTTAGGAATGACTTTAGAGAATGCTAACAAATAGGAGAAACAAGAGGGAACATCCATATATAGAGAGAGAGAAGCACTCATTGGCTGCCACGAACAGATGCACAGTTACAATGGTAGCAGATGCTTCTGAAATGTTGGCTGGGTGCAGAGGAACGTATGAGGTTTGTAAGCAAATGGGAGCATTTGAAAAACGAATACTTTTTAATGAAACCGATGATTTTTGTAGAAGATAATACTTCCTCTATTATTTAAAAAAAAATCACAAAAAAAACGTTTCGTAGAGTGTACCTGCTTCCATCATCAGGAGAACCTATAAAATCTAATAAGTTTCGTCGAATTTATAAAGTCGATCGAAACGTCCGATAATTTCATCAGTTTAAACAAACTTTCGACTAGAACTTGGGAATGTTTTGTCGTGATGTCACGGCGGAAACACCGGTAGGGTAAGCAACTGTCAGCTCCCTCAAGACGTGGCTTTACATGCTAACACCACGTCACTCACGATTTTAGCCACAGACCACCGCGCATGCGCAGAAAAAGTCAATAAATCTTCATTTCGTATCATTCTCTGTGTAAACAGGGATTATATCCTTAAACGATATTTTTAATGGTGAAGTGTAGTGTTTTCTTCGCGGTACGGGCCGAATTCTTAAATATTATTTATACGAGCTTCGGTTTCAAGGGTCAATCCTCACCTTAAGTGGGTGGTAACTCGACATCAGACGCTGTAAGTATGATTTTATATTTCTTAGTCTTAGCTGCCACTGAAAGGCCGACGAAAACAGCTGAATCCACATTCATTAATATAACTTACACAACACGTATGTGTACATTAGAGCGTCGGAGGAAGATTTATGGAAGTTTCCAATTTCCATGCAATTTCAACAAAAACAGGCCCGAGGCTAATTTGGCAAACAACTAAAGCGAAGTGGGGGGGGGGGGACACAGACAGACAACATTCAGCTTAGAAAGGTGAGATTAGTGAGAGGCGGAGAGACTGGATGGGGGTCAGACCGGCGCCGTACGCCTCCTGCACTCTGATCGGGATGGCGGTAATTAGACACGAGACATGTTAGCGGCATGCTGGAGGAGCACGGGGTGTGAGATCTTATTATATCGAGCTATTTCATCCGTCAACTCGAGTATTCCAATTATGTATAAAAATATAAAAAGGCCTAGTCTCACACACACGTCGCATTTAAAATAAACAGTGAAAGGAAAATTTTTAAAATATGAAAGATTATGTCGTTAGATACGAACATGATTACACGATCATGTAAGATAAACGAGGTAATCGTACCATTTCATGATTCTACAGAGTAAAATACCAGCTGATCAAAAATTAATATTTCAAATGCATGTAAAATCCACACAGCGATCTGAAGTATAAGTAATGTGTATATATACCTGAGACGCAGTCATCAAATAGCAGTTTATTTGAAGTGGGAACGACAATAATTATTCCCAAATTTGTGTAACTCACAGGAACAGACAACCATATATAACCAGGGAGTCACGTTTAACAACTAACTGTTCACTACAAGCCACGTGACGTAATCACGACGAGACGGTGAAGAAGTTGATTTCCGTCTTCTGAGTTCCAACGCCACGTGGACTTAACAGGTACACGCCAACGATCCTGTCTCCGAGTCCACAAGGCGTTGAACCACAGATGAACGTCGCTACGCCATGAAAGACGACATCGAAAACTGACGCCAAGCGTCGCGTTGCAGATTTTAAAAGAAACCTTAAGAATATTTTCGAACCAACGTCTGCAGATAATAAATTATCGATAATAATAAATAAACAGATCGATAAGAAGGAAAATCGATGTCATTTTCGATTATTCGTGTTTTTTTCCCGTCTAATCACAATTGTATATAAATAAAATTTATACATAAGATATTAAAATATCATTTACATGTTTGGTACATCTTTTTACTACATGTTTCGGTTACATTGAACCATCTTCAGGTGTAAAGTTAAAAGTTAAAAATTATAATCTTATAAACTAAAACTTAATTACTGTTGTTGTGTAACTTCTGATGATGTTTACATCCAAATTCATTGGAGTGAGGGTATATTTTAAAGTGATAGTGGTTTAACATTGGCCTGTAACGTAAATAATTTAAAATATTTTTTAAATATTACTGAACTTGAAAGAACGAGTATATTATTTAAATGATATTTTAATATCTTATGTATAATTTTATTTATATACAATTGTGATTAGACGGGAAAAAAACACTAATAATTAAATTTTAATTCAAAATATGACGCAATTATATCAACTTATAAATAATAGTCATTTTCAAGTTAACATATTTATATATTCATGTGCTCAGAAGGTAAGCGGCACTTTGTAAAGCTCCTCTACCGACTTTTTTCTATTGGCCTGTAAATGTCTTAAAAACTGTGACATCAAAGCATTAAATATATTAATTGATTCTTACTTACCGATGTGTGAAAAGACGTTGAGTTCCAAAATTACATACAGATGCAACACCAGTTTTGTCGAAAATCGCCAACCCATCCTATTCGGGTCGCCGTCTTGTCTTCTCACGAGACTGTAAAGACAAATGAGAAACGTCCATGTTTAAAAAGTTAACAACCAATAACTATGAGAAACTTATTGATTTTTAGTAAAATGTCAAGTTTCAATATCGTCTTCACAAGAGTTCGTCAGCGGACGCTATCCCGAAAGGACTGAATCCAGACGACATCCTTACATCTCATTTTTAAAGGATCCATTTTAATATCATCCTAAAATCTACACCTAGGTCTCTGAAGAGGTGTTTTACGACTACAATTTTCGAATAAATCTCATCACCCGTGCTGTATGTGTTCTGGTCATAAACAATGACACATCCCATAAATTTTCACAGCTCCGCGTGAAACAGAATTTTCCACAGGGTAAACCGGTATATAAAAAAAACAGCTTTTCCGAAGTTATTTTGGTTGCTTGGTGTCAGGCTTAAACTGAGACGTACCTGCTATCTACCGAGAACTCAGGTAAATTCCATCTAAAAACACGGGGTGGTAACTGCTTAAAAATAAAACCACGTTAATATAGCGAGATTTTTTTTTAGTTCTTACACCGGCGAGTCTGAAGATGGCGGTCAGTCGTGCTGTCGCATCACGAAATCATCATGGCGATGAAGGTGGCAGCAAGTACTTCCGAAACGTCGGAAAACCTCTACCAGATTACGAGACGCAACAAACAAGACTTTGATATTCACGCCAGTTTTACAGGGCTGCCAACATCATTCCATATCCCAAAATATCTTTACTTTTTTATCTCAGTTTCGGGACGTATAGACACGTCAAATTAAAGGCATTAATCAGACCTGGGTTACGTTAGTGTATCTGTAAGATCGTTATAATAACACGGTTTGTATTTGTGTGGCACTCGATGGCAATTTAAATTAGCATATAAGGGTTGGCTGAACATTTAGCCTATAATGCACGGGGCACCTGAATCAGTATCAGTGGGGTTTTTTTAAAAAAAAAAGAATTCCAAGGTGTGGATAGGAAAAGAATTGTAAAACAAAATTTGTGAAAATATACTCTGGTGAAGTGAAGTGTACTTAGACGGCTCCAAATGAAATCTACCGGAAGACTTCCGTCCACGTGTCCCTTAACCCTTTGAAGCCGAAGATCGTCTGAATATTATTTATGAATTCAGCCCGTACCGCGAAGAAAACACTACACCTCACCATTACGAAAATCAGCTGGTTAACCCTTTGAAGCCGAAGATCGTCTGAATATTATTTATGAATTCAGCCCGTACCGCGAAGAAAACACTTCACTTAACCATTAGAAGTCCAATCAGGCGGTACCACATAAGATTTAACAAAAGAACATCCCGGTCAAAGCCTTAACTAGTAGTGGGTATGGGACACGCGGACGGAAGTCTTCCGGTAGATTAGTGAGTAGGTTTGCATCACTGGTAACTATGAGATGAGAATATCTGTCTCGTATCCATAGTGACGTAAGCCGTGACTGGAATAAGTGGCAGGTTCATTTAATGAAGACGATATTTCACAGGATGTTCATCTATGTTGGCTGTGCTTTGTTACTGAACGGAATTAACCCCACTGTCTTAAGACAGAACGTATTGGATATGCGCAAAAATAAACTTCACACAGAGCTATCGTCCAACAGTCTATAAACAGAATACTATGTTTCGGCATCTGAATCTGCTGCCTTCTTCAGGAAAAAGTTTACCTACTCAGTTTGGTCCGTAACAGAACGCTAACTCCTGCAACTGTAACACTGGCTCGCAACTAGACAACGCATCTTCGAATTAAGATTGTTATAGAAAATAAACACGATAAGAAACTGCCAGCTTCACACGTCTGGCCGGATCATTTTTCCGAATTTCTGCACATAATAAATATTACGATATACGAAATTAATAATCATGTTATGGAATATCTATAAATTACATAAACTGCACTATAATATTTATTAAAAATCTTTATATTTTATGCATAAATGGATAACCACTGTAAAAAACGCCTGTGTGTAAGCATAGGTAGATTCAATACCTTTACTGTAGCATATACAAGTTTATTAAGTCAGTCTGCTGTTAATTTACGTTCTAATATTCGCGTTTCCACGACCTAATTTCTAGTAACCCTGACTACAGCCATCAAAACCTACAAAATTTACTGTTCATTCTAAAAGTCAGCAATATTTTAGTACATTCAATCCTTCTAGAGAAATCTCTCGACTACTTTGCACACCTTCTGCAGTGCAGAGCTTGATTTATAAGTCGATTTTCTCTCCAGCACACAAAAACCTAGACAGAGAGAGAGAGTATCATGCCGCCATGAACTTATTAGCATGAGATTAATTGTCTTGGTTTACAACTCAGTTTCAGAAACTCACTGCGTATTCCAATTAAGCCAAAACCTGAAAAATCAAGGGGTTTCAAACAATCCTCAACCTCTGACTCACTGACTGATGCACTCGCATTCAAACAGAGCGTAGTATAACTCCCTTAACGCACGGTCTGAGAGCCCTCCAGAAGGAAACCAGGCGTTAGCTGAGAGTAAGCCGATGTTCAAGTCTTCTGCGATGTAGGTCGATCACGTAGATAAATAATTCATTTCTGAAATCATGTAAATACGAGCAGGGATTGGACACGATTAGGGAACGCCAACTCGTCGCCAGTATTGAAAACTTACTGGTAAAAACAGAGATACTATAAAGCAAAATTATATTAGAAATTGTTAAAAATGTTGTCCTGGAAATTTAGATAGAAATATAATAATCAGGTTTTATTTATCATCAGACTGCAAAGGGGCACGTAACAGATTTTGCCTTAAAGTTTAAGTTCAAAAGTTCAAATATTGGGAGGGGGGGGGGGGAATGACGGTAACAAACCAAAATTCCCATTTACAAATTTCGAGTTTTCTCCTCTGAGACGTAAAACTGTAACTGATTAAAAAGTTATACGAAACTGTAATGTTACCTTCTATTTTACAAACGTAGTCTCAAGATAATGTGGACTTAGTAATTAAGATAATATTTGGAAATTAGAGAATATGAGACTACCATTGATTTTAGTCGTAAAACACAAAATGACAATTTGAAATAAGACGTTAATACCAAAACTGATGTTACAGTTTTTTGACGTAAAGACTGGACAAGATAAGATCCAACAGCGCGCTCTTGTAAACGCGGTAATGAACAATGAAGTTGCATACAAAGCCATGCCCTTCTACAGTGACCATCAGTTTCCCACACGAATCTCTACTTCATGGATTTATTTAATACGGTGTGAAATTTTATTAAACAAATACAATGTCAGGACACAATTATAACGAACAAGAAGGTGACAATAGTATTTTGCCTTCGTATGTTTATTTGTTTAAATCTTGTCAGTCTAAATCACAATAAAATTCCTATTAAATATTAAAATATTACTATAATTAACATTTAAATATTTAAAATATATTAACTGATGTTCTCTATCGAAATGTTCGATTTACGACATGTTTCAGTTCTAAAAGAACCATCTTCAGGTGTATAAAATTATATAAACTTAAATATAATTTCTTAAATGCAACTTTTAGTCAGATGTTTATCAGATTTCAAATGATGTTTTCTTCTAGATTTATTGTATTTTTAATATCGTATTCGAAGTTGTTCTGTATATGTACGTCGTGCTTAACATGATTTTGTGTGGGTGAACGTTTTGTTGTTGTTTTTGTATCATCCTGTAAAGTAAATAATATAAAGACTAAATGAATATTAATAAATTAGAAATAGAAAATAAAATAATATATTTGATAATTTAATTTTGAAACATACCAGAAATGAAGTTGTGGAGGAGTTACGTCCATCTGGAAGTATTGCCGTGTTTGAACTGAATAGTGTTCATTATGTATGTTTATCAAATACAAATTGAATGCAAATATCGAAGAAATCTCTCATTTTCTTTATAAATCTGTTAGTGTCTGTGCGTACTGATAAATAATCAGATTGTATAATAATAGTTATGCCTTTTTTATTATTCGTACGTAATTATTTTAATTTCTAGCTTTGTTTCCGTCGATCTGATACAAAGCCCTGAGATTATTTAAGGTGGCGTGTGCCTGTCTGTTGCAAGAGGAGATGAAAACAGGTCCAAGGCATCACCGACGCCAGACATCAATCAGCCCTTAAAATAGTTCCCTCAGCCAACGCACTCATATGATCATCGCGTTGCATATAGACGTAGGGGAACTGAACCTACGAAATGTGTCGTCGTGTTTCTATGTTTCTTTCCACCCGCCCTCGTTTCACGTTAATTCGCGGCATTTTCATTAGCATAAAAGCTTTATTACTCCCTGTGGGGCCCTTCCAGCGCCACGGAGTCCGTTCGGAAATTACGATCGGATGTCGAAAACTGTCTTCTGTTAATATTTATTCATTCTAATTCATCGCTAAATAATTCACTGTTCCTAAAGAGTTGTAAGATACGGATATTGTAATTAAAGAATTTCCGTGTCCCCTTTCATGGTATCAAAATTTATTTAATTCAGTTTAATTCTAAAGAACATTTACAATTCTGATTATTAATCTATGTTAGTATTATGGGTAGTAATGCCGTACAGATTCCGATATTTCATAGGAACGTTCTGCCATCATATTTAAATACAAATTTTATTTCAGTTTTCTAAGGTAAATCATTTCTATTTGCGTGTATGAATTTCAATTTCAAATCTGAAACATCAGAACATCTTCCTATAAAGACTGTGGTTGCATTATTAACAAATATATTTTTTAATTTCATCGTCTTAAATAATAACTAAGTATATTCAGTGAAGTGTGTCACACACTTAATCCTGGTCATTTCATGGGTTTCCTTACTGGTCCAGGCAAATTTCTTACACCGATATTGTTTCATTTTATACATCTCTCGATTTCTAGTACAAATAAAATTATTTCTATATTATTCTTATCTTTACAAATGCACATATCAGGACAATATTACAACTGGTCTTGGAAGAATTCGATATGGGGGTGTGCACTGGATATACAAAACACCCCATAAGACGGTCATTATAAATCGTGT